AGACGTTCGAGCTGGAGATGTCAGGGCTGGAGACGTTTGGGCTGGAGATGTCAGGGCTGGAGACGTTTGGGCTGGAGATGTCAGGGCTGGAGACGTTTGGGCTGGAGATGTCTGGGCTTGAGATGTCTGGGCTTGAGACGTTTGGGCTGGAGTAGAGGAGGTGGAGTCGGAGGAGACTCCCACAACCACTAACGCTCTCCACCTCTCCCCTTATCGAAGGTCGCACGATCTGGATGTAGCTGCGGGACGGGGAATACCAACCGTTCACCGTCACGTATTCGCTGCTCGACTGGATCTGCTTCTGCCATTGGGACGTCGCTTCGTTCAAGTTCTTCGTGAAATTCTTCTCCATCCCAGGTGCGGAAACCTGGAGAATTTCATTGCGACTTTATTGAATATGCTCTGAGCGGATAATTTTCTGTCACCCGACGCACGTGAATGTCACAAATCAATTATATCAATTATATCCTTTAGGAATTCAGAAATGGTTTCCTCTTAGTTCCTCGTTTATAATCTAAGCCAACCAACCAATCGGCCTTCGCGGTAGGGTACTAAACATCGAGAAGAGCGGGAATCGCGCCTGATCCCTAGATCATAGTCACTACATCAGTTTATCACTACGGAACCAAATGCATATTTCCTTGAACATCGCTCCATATGGCACAGGTGATGGCTCGAGGGAACATTCTGGCATCTGCCGCCTTCGACCACAAGTCAGATGAGAGGGTGGAGGACCTTGTCGACCCAGAGCTCGTTCTCTACAAATCAGACGGGGAAACTCCGAAACTCGAGCATTTGAGCAAGGCCACCATCGAGATCCCGGTGACCCATGAGATGGCACCCGAGAGTAAACTGGTGGTCTTTTACATAAGGCCTGATGGGGAGGTGGTGTCCGATCACCTCACCTTCCGGGTAGACCGTTGCCTCCCCAACAAGGTCATCCTTGTTCCTATTTACGAGATGCTCCAATGCCCTCAATCTCGCTCATGTTATCTCTCAACTTGTCGCGTGGCAGGTGGAATTGAGATGGAACGAGAAAGTGGCTGCACCTGGATCGAAGATCGGACTGAAGGTTAAGGCCGCGCCGAAATCAGTCTGCGGATTGAGGGCGGTGGACACGAGCGTGGACCTCCTCAGACCGAGGCATCAGCTGACTGCGGATCAAGTCCTGCTGGCCCTGGAGCGTTTCCAGATCTTTGACTATCAGTCGCCCTCTCAGAGCACGGACAACAACTTCTGTCTCAGGCATCAGCCCTCTAAAAGTGTTTCCCGTATGTTCATTCCTTGAATGCTTCACCGCATCATAACTGTATACGGCAGGTTTTCTTCGCGCTGTGCTGACTTCATAATACACTTTATTATTAAGTCTTCATCGTAGTAGTCTGGGAAGTTTTTAATATATGAAAGGAAGAATTTGGAAGTTTAATGACGATTTTCTCGCTTGCTGAAAAAAGTAATCAAATTCTTTCCACCGAGTGACATCGGTATCGCCTTATCCCATGAGACCCATAGATCATGAGATCTCTCTTAATAAATTAATTATTCATTTAAAAAAAAAGAGCTCTCTCCCCGAGCTTGAGAGTATATTGCCCTCTTTTTCCTCGGAATTTCGATTGCGACGACTTCCTTACGGTTGGAAGTTCTCTTAGTTCCCCTTCATTTAGGATGGAATACACTCGTGCTGGAGTTTCGATAGGGCAATCGAAGAAAAGTGGAAGGGATTAAGCCGTCCGGTTTTTTTTCGAAATGGTGTGATAACGCTGAATGTTCTTGGTACAATATTCCTATGCGATTTTCTTTTGAAAATAACGATAGTGCAAATTATATTAATTGGGAGCTCATTAATACTCTAATATTCACTAATAAATCGGAAAAACTGAGAGAAAGAGAGAAAGAGACATGTACGGATAACTTAAATATTTTTTAACATTAAAATTGTTTTCTTCATATGGTGTGGGGACGGGCTAGAAGCATCTTAATGCGATGATGGAGCAGGCAGACAAAGGGAGTCCGTAACGTTCATCACATGGCGACTTATGTATTTTATTTCATGCTTGTCGAAGTATGAAGATGGGACATTTCCACGAATCGAAACTTAACGCTCCAGAAATGTCAGCCAAATTAATGGAAAACTCAATATATTACCCTCTTCATTGACAACGGAAAGAACAGCGAATCCGAGAAAACCTGCTCGTTCCGATACACATTCCCAATTCCTTTCGGATAGTACTTGTACCTAACACGAGCAGTTCTGTTTTTCCGAGGAACGGAGAAACGAGAACCTCGAATTACGCAAGTATTGTTCTCATAGCCTTTTCCATGAAGCATGACCGAACAGTGCAAAGTTTTATTGCATATCCAGATGCCATTTATCGATGTTTTCATTCATTCGCCTATTCCGAATTTACAGGACTCACCACAATCTTATGCATTACGGTCACGCAGGTTTTTTTTTGCTAGTAGACTGCAGAAACGTGAGCAAGGATTTTTGTTTAGAAGGATGACCTTTTTTAACAGCTTACTTAAGGGGGGGGGGAGTTCCCAGGAGCCAAAACCAGCACCAGGGGTGTTTGTGAACCTTTTGTACGCCACTGGTAGACCGTATAAGCCAATTTTTATATATGTGGCGCATGGTCTCGGCGGTTGAATACGATTTTTCATACTCGTCTTGATTCTTGGCGTTCTTTTGGCATGCAGATGAGGACGGAGACTCAAAATATGACTTCATAGAAGATTCCCGCAGTCACGCTCTCACATCCTTCGATGTGAGTTCATACCATGCACCTCTATATACCTCTATATATATATACCTCTATTTGCAGCAAGGAAGAATTTGGTTGAGTAATTTTTCATGCGCAGCGTTCCGGCCTTGTGGTCCTGTCCGACCTGAGAGTCTTCACCTTTCCCTGCCGCACCGTTGACAACGTGTTCGGGTACTCGGAAAGACTTCTACCTCTGAGCGAAGAAACCGCGGAGCAGGTCGATGCTGCTGTTACTGATGTACCGATACCGTCCACATTAATGGCTGAGAGGAAGAAGTCTTTCAGTGGTAGTCGGGACCACTTCCCAGAAACCTGGCTCTGGTCCCTCGAGGCCGTCGATGAAACAGGTAATGGGTAATGAGGGTAAACGGAGTAATGAGAAGGAGGTTTTGGTCATAATATCTCCTATCTTTCTGCACCCAGGGGAGCTAGAATTGAAGGATCTTGATGTGCCGGACAGCCTCACGGAGTGGGTGGGATCAGCGGTGTGCAGCTCCCCACTGGCAGGGCTGGGCTTGTCCTCCTCTCAACCCCTCATTGCCTCTCAACCCTTCTTCCTTGACTTCACTCTGCCGTACTCTATCAAGATGGGAGAGATCCTTCCCCTTTCCGTTTCAATCTTCAACCAAAAACAGTATCCTCTCCCAGTAAGCCTCCCTTTGGATTTCCTTCTCAGAGATGAACAGTAGAATATGGTCAAACATTCATCACACCTTTCTTTTAAAATGTATTTATGCTTTTCTCCTTCCTTCAACAGATCAGAGTTATCGTTAAGGAGTCCGCAGCCTTTGAAGTGGAAGGAGAGAAAGAGAAAAGCCTCTGCCTGGAGGAGCAGGGGAAGGAGGTGGTGATCTTTCACTTGGACTTCTCGAAACTGGGAGACGTCAACGTGACCATTCTGGCTCGAGTTGATTCCTGCTTTCCTGGAGCGTGCGGGCCTGATACCCTTCTTCTTGTCAGGTCTGTCTACTTGGAACGTTTCTGGGTTTGTCGAACGAATATCTAAACCGATGGGTTCATGATGATCAAGAACATAATTTTTGGGTATAATTTACTCATAATCTTTAGAACCTCGCTGTTTCCAGCTAAGGTGCAACATCCATCCCATCTGTTTGTAAAGACGATGGCCACAAACGTGCTTCTCAGCCTTTAGCCTAACAAAATGACCACCCTCTCCCCGAGTGGATTTGAAATCAAGTGGATGTCTCACCAGGAGGAAATCCTCTTGCTGTTGGGAAGTTCTCCTCGTTCAAAATCCGCCCAGACATTCGTATGATTTCAAATCAATTAATACTTTCTGTGGTTATCCACCTGTCGTGAGAGTTTATTAGGGCAATTTCTTCTCTCACTTTTTCCGTCCCTCAACTTCCCTGAGAATAAGGCTGCGACTATTAAAAAATGCCAGTAACTATTTTATAATTGCCTTACTCCTTTTTCGTGGGAGTGTAAGAAGACCGTAAGTACGAGGGTCACTCAATAAGTTATCTACCTGAATAAGAAAGTATTAATTGATTTGAAATCATACGAATGTCTGGGCGNTATCCCATGAGACCCATAGATCATGAGATCTCTCTTAATAAATTAATTATTCATTTAAAAAAAAAGAGCTCTCTCCCCGAGCTTGAGAGTATATTGCCCTCTTTTTCCTCGGAATTTCGATTGCGACGACTTCCTTACGGTTGGAAGTTCTCTTAGTTCCCCTTCATTTAGGATGGAATACACTCGTGCTGGAGTTTCGATAGGGCAATCGAAGAAAAGTGGAAGGGATTAAGCCGTCCGGTTTTTTTTCGAAATGGTGTGATAACGCTGAATGTTCTTGGTACAATATTCCTATGCGATTTTCTTTTGAAAATAACGATAGTGCAAATTATATTAATTGGGAGCTCATTAATACTCTAATATTCACTAATAAATCGGAAAAACTGAGAGAAAGAGAGAAAGAGACATGTACGGATAACTTATTGAGTGGCCCTCGTATATGCTGTCAGGATAATGGTTCGTTTTGGAATGCAGCGTGTAATCTTCATTGCAGAGCGTTTGTGGTTATGTATGTTACACCAGCACATACAACCATAAAATTCCACGTTTAGGCTGGAAGTCTTCCTACTGACTAAGACTTAGAATGTCGAGTGTTTCCTTCTGTTACTTTCCATCAGTCTCATAGTGGAGACAAATAAATATACAATGAAACCATGGGAGTTAAGAAACTGGTTAATTGTAATGCTTAGCTTGCATTATTATGATGATCACTGATCAGGTTCTTGCATCAGGTAGATGCATACCTCTAAATTAACCGACGCTGGACCAGTTCATGTTTGGGGCGTTCGATTCAAATAGGGGTTCAAAAGACAGGATTAATGTGCAGGTTGAATATTTTCCTTTAATCGGCGTTTGCCATTATCAAGGAAGAAGGGGTTCCACCAGGATAGGACCTGACTGCCAAGACGATTTTGGGTTGCGTACATGTGACGACACAGGAAAAGGGGAGACACAGACCAATCCTAGACGGAAGGAGCACTCGACCTCAAGCATTGTCACTTGCAGTTAGTGTGCCAAATTCGTGGGTGAAAATCGAATGAGGTTTTCCTGCAACGTGGGTACAGACGGGAACTTCGTAGTGCGAGACTGTAGAAGTGCTCCTGAAAAAAGGCTTTCAAGTTAGTCCACCTAAACGCCAGGTATATATGTAACGCTTCAGTCATCATCAGAATTCGCAACATGCAATGATACTTGTAGCCGATTGTTGACTTCCAGATGGTATTTCCTGTGTCGTGTCTGTCTGTGTCTTCCACCTCAATTTATGACGTATGCTATTTTATTCCAGGGACACAATTGTGAAACAGATACGAGTAGAACCGGAAGGGTTTCCGGTGGAAGAAACAAAGAACTGGTATCTGTGCGGTAAGTTTTTTTGTTTCCCTTGGAGTTAGCTGAATTCGGGTAATCAGAAAACCAGAAAGCTTCTCGTCCTGGTTCTTGGTAACACTGAATATTTCATTCACAATCCAAAGAAATTACATTTATTATTACAAACGATGTTCAGCAGAAAGTACAGCTATGGAATTTCAGTCGGTTGTGATGGGCGAAATGACGTATACCATTGAATATTTCGCAAGCTAATTTCTTAAACGTGTCGTCCTCAATGCACATAATCCCCAGGGGAAAGCGAGGCGGCGAATGCGACTCACTCGCTGAGCCTGCCGGAGGACGTGGTGCCCGATTCGGCCCGAGCGTGGGTGACAGTCTTCGGGGACCTCCTTGGACCCTCCATTCAGGTCATCTCAGCGCTTTGGATTCATCCCATCTCTTTCTTTTTCTAAATCCTCTTGTTTTTCTACGGCGGAATTACCACAGTATTAATTGGGTGGTCGTACCAACTTTTTCATTCGCATCATGATAGCAGATGATGCTGATTATAGAAAATGCTCTAGTACACTTGATCGTAATAATTAAAGAAATCCCACCTGCGGCGATTCGTCCATGACGTCTCTCTTCTCCTCAAGTCAGGCACGCACGAATCGGAGGTATGGTTTGCGTGGATGATATACTTATAAGAATTGGTTGTAGCAGTCGTAGCCTGTCCCTCTTGAACGGTCGTTCCTTCGCTTTGATCTCACAGGATCTTGCAATTCATGTCTCCGTCCTCTATCGAGGGAGGAAATAATTCAAGTTCTGGTTATATCAAGCGCTCCGAAACTGAAGGGAATCACTTCTACCTTAAGATGTTACTTGCGTAATGTTCCCGATTCACCTATGCCGTGCATGGAAAATTCATATTTGGTCAATACATAATGTACTTCCTCAAGTTTTGAAGATAGCTTCACCTGGCAGTAACCCAGCTTCTTAATTTATTGCGCAATACATCTTCACTAAAATCTAAGATTTACGTTTAATTTCAGAAAATCCATTCTTTCAGTCGTATGCTTCTCATTGTTTATATTGTACTCCAAAAAAAATTGGAAAACCCATGCAGCGATCACCAATCGCTCGCTGCCCGGTGCGAGCTACAGATTTTCTCAAAGAAGTCACATTCATCAGGAATTCCGCAGAAATCTTTCTCAATCATTCAAGATGTTGTGCGTAAGAATCATGGAGTTTGGATGATGAAAACGAGGAGACACATTTTTACATTTTTACACTGTCGAAAGGCTCTCAATTTCCCGCACTACTTTTTCTTTCCATATTTTCCCTCCTTGCCACAGTTGTCCTGCTTCACACACTCCAAATATGGAGAATTCGAATTCTGCAGGGCCTGGAGACGTTGGAGACGTGGTCGATGGACTGCGGAGTGCAGAACATGAACGCCCTGGTTCCAAATATATTCATCCTCCAATATCTCAGTTCCACAAATCAGCTCACGCCGGAACTCAAAGCGGAACTCATACACAAGGTGGAAAACGGTTAGTGAAATTTGGATTCAAGACGTTCCCCAGAGATATATTACAGAATAGTATAATTAAAATATGGGTTCCTAATTGGATTTCGATATCTTTCAGTGATTGTTTCCCCTCATGAAATCATATTCAGATGAAACCGAGTGTGATACACAACATGGCATATGCTGTTTCTCTATTCCTTTTCCTATTATCAGGATTCATACTTTTGTCGATTCACTATCTCAGGGTTCCAAATAGAGTTGCACTGCCAGCATGAAGACGGATCGTTTAGCTCGTTCGGAGCGAACAAGGAGAGTTCCATGTGGATGACGGCCTTAGTAATAAAAAGCTTCGGGCAGTCGCTTCCCTTCATATCCCTCAACGAAGGCGGGTGGCAGGAGGGTGTCCGCTGGATCACCGGAAAGCAGATGGAGAGCGGGTGCTTCCCCAACGTCGGGAGGGTCCTCATGCCTCGCTATCAGGTTCGGTCGTTTTCGCTTCTCGTGCAAGATTTTTTCTGAGAGCCGATCAGGACGAGAAATACCTAAAGAAATACTCTTAAAAATATCAAAATTTGACATACGATGTAAAATTTATTTTCATAATTTTCATAATTTATTTTCATAATTTTCATAATTTATTTTCATAATTTTCATAATTTATTTTCATAATTTTCATAATTTATTTTCATAATTTTCATAATTTATTTTCATAATTCTCAATTTATTTTCATAATTTTCATAATTTATTTTCATAATTTTCATAATTTATTTTCATAATTCTCAATTTATTTTCATAATTTTCACAATTTATTTTCATAATTTTCATAATTTATTTTCATAATTTCACTTTTTCGTAATTATTCCTTTAACTCTTTAAGAAGGTATTCAATTTATAGTGAATGAAAGACAACCTCTTTTTTAAACATTTTCTTAATTTTGTTTCGGACTTCGTGCTGTCATGGTCACGTGGTCATTGTCAAGGTTTAGTTCTGGTAACTAGTTTAATCTAGTTGATTAGCATGTAACAGCTACTCGTGTTCAATCAATTCACTATGTGGTAGAGGCAATTTTACATTCAAAAGCCTAAAAATAGTGCTACGAGATGACACTGCGGGAGATACTTTTTGCATCTCATTGCGTCCTGTGGAATTTTAAAAATTAGTTTGGGGCAATAAAAGTGAATACAAAATGTGAAATCTGCTTGGAAATTTAAAATCAGCAAGATACGCACCCAAGTTACTTATTCGATTTCAGGTGAGCTTCTCTACCTAAAGTTTAACATCCCATGATGTAAATCCATTGCCACTCACTTGCGAAACTTTCCAAATGCTTAATGCTATTAACAGTTTTACGGACTCTGCGGAAGGTTTCTTTCAAGTAACTCCACTGTTGGTGCACTTGCGTATTTCAGACTCATAAAAACTAAAGAAGTGATTTGGTAACCTTTCCAGTGAATTTCACCGGAATGTCATTGAGTTAGTTTGCATGCACAGTAGATGCAGGCATAGGATGAAACCAAGAAATTCTGTCGTACAGCGCTGCCATTTGGTTATCGAGTAGCCAGTAAAAATATCGACTTGCAAATAACAAATCGAATATTTGCGCAGCTTATCGCTCGAATGGATTCGAGAAGTGACAAAGAAGTGACAAAAGCGCTTCAGAGCTGCATCATGTATGCCCCTCCAATGACCGCAATTGCCGTGTATCCTAATAACCTCACGTCAGCAAAGCCGTCTATGTGACATGTTTCTTTCGTATAACTTCATCCCGCAATGTCATTATAACATACCTAAGCATCTTTGATATAATAGGCATAGTTATCATAGAGTACCGCAAGTCATGAAGCTCCTTCATGATAGACCGGCATTTAGTCGCTCGTCCTGGAGATCGAATGATGATCCAACATGATTTGGATAATTATACATAAAATGCATCATTTTATGACATGTAAAAAGCTTAAGCGAGGCCATACGGCCTCACGATTTGGCAAAAAAAAATTATATGAACAGTGAAATGACCCAATGAATGAGTAAAATCCAAATAAAATCATGCTGAATGCTAACACTGGTGCTTGATCGGAAAAGGGCAATGAAGAAGGGGAAGAAGGTTCAAATGCGGAGTTGTCGGCGTACGTCCTCATCTCTCTTCTGGAATCAGGAGGCTCTGTAGAAGATAAAGTAATCAAGAGAACTCTACAGTGCTTGAAGGGCAGCCCCAATCCTTCAACTTTCGCCCTGGCCCTCATCACGTACGCCTTCGTCTTGGCCGGGGAAACGGAACTCGGTGGGACCTACCTGGATGAGCTTCTCCAGAGAGCCACTGAGGGAGATGGTCTTCTTTTTTGGCATGCCTCAACTGATGGTAAGAAATGTGTTCTGTAAATTATATATGAGAAATCATGAAAAACATAATATATTGCAGATGAACTGATGACGTTTCCTAAGTACAGCTATTTTCGTTCTTCCCGTGCGCAACTTGCTTTGCTGCACACGTATCTAGAGTCCTCAGACGCAATGGACATGGAGATCACATCATATGGGATCCTATCGCTGTTGAAGATGGGCCGAAAGGGGGACACTGCCCGAGCCCTTTCCGCCGTCCGCTGGCTTATCTCCAAGAGAAACTCCAATGGTGGCTTCAACTCCCCTCAGGTTCTCCTAGGTCCCATCCCGTCAGATTGAAAAGCAAATCTATGAATTGTATAGTTTTTCCCTCTGAAAATCCTGTCCCCTTGTCTTCCTCTGTAATGTAGTTGGATTACAGAGAATATCAGGTCTCCTTTGTCCTTGATAGGGAAGTATTTGTCTTTTTGCCAGTAACGCGAGGGATGACATAACTTTTCCGCTCTATGGTTTTTTAAATGAGGAAATTGAAAGCTAAAACACCTATTCCTCCGTTAGGCACGAATAGTAAATATTGAATACCTGTAAGTTTTCAGCAGTTTCTTTTAAGTGCTGGTCTTCTTTCTTTTTTGGGTCATTGATATTTAATGAATTGCTCAAGTGAATCCTTTACTGGCAATTATAAAATAAAACAGTTTCACTGAAATTAGCACTTATTTCCGATAAGTATTTTTCTTCAACTTGATAGCTTATGAAACGCTGTGCTTAAGAAAAAGCTAATCCTTGGAACATGTTTTGAAAATGAAGACAAACTAAGACCGTCACATCGATTAATTTAATCGATCGATTAATCGATTGAAGTATTAAGCTCAATTTTAAAATTTAGTCGAAATTGATATCATTTAGATCGACCCACCTAATATCCCCCTGAATGCCTCTTTCATCCCAAAGAATTTCATTATAGAATAATACTTTAATCAGTTAAGCAGTCGATCAAATTATTCGCATTGGCAGCCCTAAGATGAACTCAATTATATTTTGACGGCGACGGAATTTATTGGTGACGGTGGGAGTCACGCCTTGTTTCATCGATAGAAAAATTGTTCATTACCAGGTTAATATTATAAAGCAAAACAAAACAATTTTTTTAATGAGGTTATTAGGTTTCCTCGTTCCTACGGAGCAGAATCTATTGGATCCTCTTGCTAGAGTAGAAACAATACATTTTCTGAGAATGTCTCGAATTGAAATTTCCAGTGTGAAGCTAGTCTTTGTAATATTGTGATTTTGTGCAAGACGTAAAAAATTAATTTGTCTTTCAAACAGTGGTGTTGGGTATTGCAGGCCACGGCGATGGTACTGCAGTCCCTGGTACTATACGCATCTCACGTGGGATTGGGGGAAGTGGCCATGGATATCCAACTGTCCTCCTCAGGTTGGGAGCACGCCTTCCATCTCACAAATGCAAATCGTCTGGTCCAGCAGATGACCTCCATCGCGTCTCTTCCTCATCACCTCCAGATCTCATCGTTTGGGAGCGGCTGCACCCTCATCCAAGTCCCTGACCCCTCATACGCAGGTCGTAGGATATTGCTTCTGCATGTCTCACGAATGTTCCTTTGCAGGCAACGCTGAGGTACTCTGTGTTTCGTGAACCCAAGAAGCAGGGGATGAGGCTAAGCGTAGAGGAGAAGCTCGGTGATGCGCAGGAATGCGATCGACGGAACATACATGTCTGTGCCATGTACTCTGGACCTGCCAACGCCTCCGACATGGCAATGCTCCAGGTCTCTATGCTCTCGGGTGAGTCGACTTTTGCCGAGGCCCTCTTTCCATGGGTTGATAGGTTCATATCAATACGAATCATGAAATTGGTTTTAGAGTGCTGTCGCTTATATGAAAATATTTATTTTGGGGGCTGAGGACTACTGAGAGCCTTTTTTCTTTCTTGTAACGAATCAGGTTTTGAACCGGACGAAGATGCAATTAACAATCTTCAGTCCCAGTCATCAGGTATGTGACTCGTACCCATTTTGATAGTCCAGAATGCGAAAGAATGTATAAAGGAAAGGTCTTGGACAGAGTTGAATCGCTGGGAGGTGAGGACAGAAACTGGAGAACTGGCGGTATTCTTGGACCATTTGGACAGAAAAGGTTTTTGCTTGAGCATTCCACTTCTTCGTACTGTTTTAGTCAAGAATCCCAAGCCGGCTCTCATCAAGCTCTTCGACTACTTTGCACCCGAACTCCAAGACACTCAGGTGAGCTTAAGATGGATAGTTCTATTGCTTACATTCAATTATCCAAGATTCAAAGAACTCTAATAGGGAAATTTCAGCGACTGGAATTGGATTTACTCATTAAAATTAAAATTCCATTTAACTGCAACATCCTCAAGTGGTTATAACATGTGACAGAGACAGTAGCATTCAGAAACGCTTCAAACCTTGTTTGCGGTTGACATATGAAGGGCTGAAAGGCAAAGTGGTCTATTGCAAAATATTATTTCCTGAAGCTCCACACGGAATGATTGAATATTCAGTGACCATCATGTTAAAAGTGAGAAAAATAGGTATGTATCGAAAGATCACTTCATCCTTTACTTAATCCAAAAAGCAATAATTTTCTATGAAAGGAACAAGGTCCTATAAGCACAAAAACCACAACACTTTTTTCGGAAATTTTTTGCAGAAAGACCACTTTGCCATTCAGCCCTTCATATTTTAGTCCATTAATATTTTTTTTAAAGCACAGAACACCCCCTTTTCATTAACCTTATGCGTCACGGAATTTTCTTTTAGCGTTTTTTTTGTTGTTGCGGTTTTAGGCTTCACAGGTCCTAAATGTTGCCAAGGAACGCCTGAAAATGTTTTCCATATGTTTGCATGCCGGGTACTGGTTTAAACAGGCGAGCGTTTCTAAACACCTCTGTGACCATAAGGGTAAGAACAAGAAGAAAACACTCAAGGTATACTGGTTCTGGGACAGAAGGTCGAAAATTTTTCGTCGAATTGCAAGAACGTCGACGTCATGAATTGCGAAAGGCAGAATAGGAAAGAGTAGGAAATGTCGAAATAAGACATGGTGGAACGGAGAAAATGTCGAAAGAACCAGAAAGTCGAAAATGTCGAAAAAACGTGGAATGTGCTTGTCTCGGGCTGTCTTTATTTTCTAAATAGAGTTCGCCTTTGTTTCTTGCATAGTTCATGCCGTCGTAGACTATATGCTCAGCGAAGTGGAATGATTGTTAATCTTCAGAGATAGACGGTCATTCCAGTTATTGTTAGTGACCTTGAAAGTGGTTCGAACCATACTCGCCCATGAATTAGCAGTCAGTCTCGTTCCTTTCCTTGTTGTTATCACTCCCTCGGCTTCTCATTTTCTGAATCGACTGGGGTTTCTAGGCTTTCACGCTTAACTAGACTCAAAAAGGTTTACTTATCGAAATAAATCGATACCTGATATAATTTCTTGATGTGCTTATTGACTCAGTAGCTTTCGACATTTTTCCAGTCCACATCATTTATTTATGGAGAGGGGGGAGGGGGGGTGTGTGTGCAAGTCGTACAATGACTCTCTCCTATTCTCAATAACGGATCCAACTGTTGCGAAAGCCGGAGAGAAAGCGCGAGCGTGAGACGAGCACCTCAATCCGCGTATGTCTTCCACGAACTGTTTCTCGGGAATTCCCGAGCTCAGTCAACAGCCCTACAATTCAGCGGCCCTCTCAACGACATGAAGCAGCACCACCTCCATCCTCTTCTCGAGAATGACCAGTGGAAGACTTCCACGAACTTCGGGTCGGTCTAGGCCGTGGGTGTCAAACTGCCGGCCAACTATTTGATTTCGTTCGGCCTGCAAAGTCCTTTTCAACAGTTGGTTTTTAAGAAGAGTAGACTATTTCAACCTGTTAGCAAACGAAACTTTGGTGCAAGATGTGCGAATGTGGAACCAACCGCTTATGAAGGGTTCCATCCGGCCGCCTGCTTAGTGAAGTTTGACATATCTGGCGTAGGCTATGCGAGTAACATAGGGTCGCTAAAATATATTGTAAGGCCTGGGGCAACATTCAAGGAAGGGCCTCCTTTCCACTCTTCTCCCCTCCCTGCCGCTTCAAACACATTCACTGAGTGTATTTGAAGTATTCATTGCAGACGAACGCTACGATATGGTACATACACAATCTGATGTGGCTTCCCCCCCCCCCCCTCCGCCCCTGCTCCCAGAGAGGAGACGCTAGGCAAATTGCTCATCCCCCCCCCTCTCTACAGTCCTGAACATAGACGGGAATCCATGAGCTCAGTCAGCACTTGAACATTCTACTCAGCAGTCGCTCTCTCTCCCGTTCTCGAGAACGAATCCGACAATCGCAAATACTCGAAAGAAACTGCTCGACCGAGAGCGAGACAGAGACTCCAACCTGCGGAAAACATCCACAAATTCTGGGTCGGCCTAGCCAAAGCGTGTAGCATTTTCGGATATTCACGAGTTCAGTGAGCGTTCCAATCAACGCTCTGCCCAGCAGCCGCTTTGACAATATACGTCTTGCGCACCCCTCTCTCACTTATTCGCGGGAGTGTTCACGCCTGTGATACGGACTTTTATAGAGCTGCACTCTTTTCCCGTTTCGATCTCGACGATGTGCGTATCGTCGGTGAAGTCCATCTCCCCAACTTTTCGTGCAGGTCTAAGAGTGGAATATGCGCTAAATAAACGGGATGGTTACTACGCGGCCGACGGCGTCTTTCCGATCCAAGGGATCCTGATCCATACAGGTGGGATCCCGCCGTTTGCACCCTCGGAAGACACTCTCCTTGTGAGAATGCCAATCAAGAAAAGGCTTCCGATTGATGAATTGATGAAGATTCGATTGATGACGATAAATAAATGATGATAAGGTCTCATCCCGGGGAGGAAGTCATCCTTCCTTATGGGATGACAGGGATATTACAAGTGTAACACGCAGGGACGTTTTACACTTCCCTACTGAAAAGTCCGTATCGGATTCCCGGGTCCGTATCAGGAGTGTGTGTAAAATGCACCTCTCCCGTTGTAGTATTATGGATGCCGTGGAAAAGTCTTTAGATCATACTTGGTTCGGTGGTGTAGTGGAAATTTCTTTTTCCGCCTCTTGGATCGATTCCCAACCTCTCTATTGTTTTTCTTTCGTCATGCCATCTGAATTCTTCTCCCCCCCACATCCCATTACGTTCTCGAAAATGGATGTCAGCCATAATGGCCGGAGGGAAGGTGAGAGAGTGAGCGAGACAGACACCCGGAGCCGAGTAGAAGGCATATGGCACTGCGGACATTCAGTCGCCCAAGTATATGTAAATAGATCGTTTTTGAGTTCGAACAATGGTTCTAAAGAAAAAAAATTGAAGGATTTTATGATTTTATTGCTTCGTTTGCCGTAACCATCTATGGTGGAAAATAAAATAATTGAAACCGTGCGCAAACAGCTGCTCGGCTGCTGCATCCAAAACATTCCCATTCTGCCACCACCTCAGAACGGAGATGGAGTAACTCCACACCTCGTACCATAGCTCTTCGTCATGATCCAGTGGTAGTGGCGGGAGGAGAATAATTGGATAAAACTTCTTATCTTCTCCGCCTCCACAATTCATACTGCGCATCAAATAGATGCACTGTATGAATCGTGGTCCTTGCTCAGCAAAGGACCGGCAACGAGTAGTCAGGGCACTTGTGACGCGTTTGGGGCAAATCAAATGGGAACCCCAGAAGCTGATGTAGCTACTGATGAAAGTAAGGGTCTGCGCTATTTGCAAACACATCGGATCGCAACGTGGAATGTACGAGGAATGAGCCAAGGGAAATTGGACATCATCAAAAGCGAAATGTCCCGGCTCAAAATCGAATTATTGGGAATCAGCGAACTGCACTGGACGGACAATGGTTATTTCCAGTCGGACGATTTCACCGTCTATTACTCCGGTCATGATAACATCAAACGGAATGGCGTGGCATTCATAGCTTCCAAAAGAGTCGCCCGCACCATAGAAAGCTTCTCGCCGGTCGGTGACCGTATCATGTCCATCCGCATTCGTGCAAAACCGTTCCTCATCACAATTATGCAGGTCTACGCCCCAACGTCTGATGCACCCGAGGATGAAATCGAGCGATTCTATGCCAGCATCCAAGAAGCGCTGCAACAAGTGCCCAAAAAAGATGTCATTTACATCTTGGGAGATTTCAATGCGAAGGTCGGCTGCCAAGAAGAGCCAGGCTTAGTTGGCAAGTTCGTTCTCGGCGTCAGAAACGATGCGGGTGACCGGTTGATACAGTTTTGCCAGGAAAATCGATTCAAAATCGCGAACACATGGTTCATGCAGCACAAGCGCCACCTCTACACATGGACATCCCCAAATAGATCACATCGTAACCAGATCGATTATGTTCTGTGCAGTCAACGGTGGAGTAGTTCTGTGCTTGCTGTCAAAACGTATCCTGGTGCAGACTGCGGCTCTGATCATGAATTGCTCGTAGCCAAAATCAAAGTCAAGTTATGTAACATCAAAAAGACTGTGCCGCCAAAGAAGTTTGATGTCTCAAAGATTCCACCTTCATACGCAGTTGAGGTGAAAAACAAGTTTGAATTGCTTGACACCTCCGAGAAACTGCCTGACGAATTGTGGTAGGAATTCCAGTCGATCATCTTCGAAACGGCGACGAAGAATATTCCATACAAGAAGCCAGAGGAGAAGAAATGCAAATGGCTAACAGAAGGNCATCAAGCCGGATATGTCACTTGAAGGCAAGATCACGAGACTCAAACTCACGTATTTCGGCCACGTAATGCGATCGAATTCATTAGAGAAAGATCTCATGCTTGGAGTGGTCAGCGGTAAGAGACGACCTGGTCGTCAGAGAATGCGTTGGCTCGACACCATCAAAGCTGACACGGGATTGAGCTTAAGGCAACTGACGGATGCGGTACAAGATCGGACAGCATGGAGAGAACTAGCCCATAGAATCGCCAAGAGTCGGACACGACTGAATGGATAACATCATCATCATCATCATGAATCGTGGAGGAACACGGTGTCTAATTTTGGTACCATGGATGATTAATGCAAAGGAAAAAAAAGCAATGATTTCATAACGTCCCATTGAATTCTTTCTTTCGACGCAATAACCATTCTTCTACACCAAAATTACGACTAAATTACTATTACACAACATGAAGTAACTTTTCATGCATACTATACATGAAGGCAGATCATGTCCTTTTTCTCCGGAATATTCAGTTTTTAAACTACAATCAATTCCGACGGTTATAGACATGCATGAGCTTTAAACTGTCACAAGAATCTTAAAGAACTGTCATAATTTCATTGTTTCTGGGGAGCCTTTGGTGGCCTTCAGTCACAGAGGTGTTTTTAAACACACTGCTGAAAAATCATCCTGTTGCCCATCGCCAGTTAATAAAAAAATTGAAAAGCTGCCCTACGTCTATAAAACAATCACAACAGCGCACTATTTTTTCTTACCTTCAGACTCACACTTTCTGCTTCAAAAATGTGTTGAAAGTGTCTATTTTTGGTTTCCTTTGCTTTGGCTATACAACCTCCCTCAAAGAACGCCAAATGAGCACTCAAATACAGCTCGTGGTCAGCGAGTAACCTGGACGGCACCAGTGATATTGCGATGCGCTGGAGGGGCAGCGACGCCGTCCAATGAAAGGCTGACACTCAAAAAACTATTTT